GTGCTCCCCATCCTCCAGAGCACTCTCCAACCCTCAGGGCCCCCCCCAACCCTCGGGGCACCCTCAAAACCCTCAGGGCACCCCCAAAATCCTCGGGGCACCCCCGAAATCTCCCACCCGGAGCGGCGCAAACTCCGCGTGCGGATCCATCGTGACACCCGCCTTCCTTCTCCCCCCTCCCCATTTTGGGGTCCCCTCACCCCTTTTCCCCCTTTTGGGGTGCCCCCCACCCCCCAGGGCACCCCCCAACCCTCAGGGCACCCCTCAAAATCCTCGGGGCACCCCCAAAATCCTCGGGGCACCCCCAAAACCTCCCACCCCGGAGCGGCGCAAACTCCGCGCGCGGCACCTGCCGCTCTCCTTCTCCCTTCCCCGTTTTGGGGTCCGCCCGCCACCCCCTTCTGCCGCTTTTTGGGGTCCCCCGGCCCCCTCAGAGCACCCCCAAAATCCTCTGGGACCCCCCAAAATCCCTCTTCTTCCCCCCCAGGGCAGCGCAAACCGGCCACGTCGTACGTGCGGGTGCGGATCCGGCGCGACGCCCGCGGGTCCCTGCGCAGCCTCCGGCACCTCATCAGCAAGAACAAGTACAGGAGGGACCTGCGCATGGTGAGGGGGCCCAAAAACACCCCAAAGTACCCCAAAATCTAAAGGGGGGACCCCCAAATATCTGGGGGGGCCTGAAAAGTCTAGGGAGGATCCTGAAATTTGGGAGCAGGAGCTCGGAAACTCTTGGATGGGAGGTGGGGGGAAGTGTCTTCTGGGATTATTTCCTGTGGTTTTGCGGGTTCAGGGACCCCAAAAATCCTGGGGGGGGGACCCAAAATTAGGGGACCTTAAAAATCCAGGGAGGATCCTGAAATTTGGGGGGGGACAAGCTCTAAAACCTCTTGGAGGGGACCCCGGGTTTTGAGGGGGATCCCTAAAATCCAGGGGGGGGGAGGCCCCAAAAACCTTGAAAGGGGGAGGAGGAGGGAGCCCAAAAATGGGACCCCCCCCAAAAACCCCCTTGAGGGTCCCAGAACCGAGGGGGAGAGGGGGAGTTTCGTGACCTTGAAGGGGTTCCCCTGGACTGGGGGGGGTCCCCGAAATCCGGGGGGGACATATACCCCAAAAACTCCCCCAAAT